TCTTACGTTTGTTACTCAGCTGACTATTACAATCACCTTGACTATAGTACGACCTGTACTGATGCAGCAAATCCGTCATGGATACGTTATGCAAACCCATTGTTCTGACTTCTCTGTTCAAATTCTGCATTCGGACGAGAGAATAGACAATATCTATAGAAGATGTTAAGCATTCGAACGAATGAACTGGGCGCTACTGCTCAAGATGAAATCGTTTTCATCAGGTCAACGAAGCACACACCGTGTTTTGTCTCATTTCAAAAGTTAGGCTTATAAAACATGGGTTTTTAATGAGGAAGCTACTGAGGCGGTTCAACCCGTATGGAGTCTTTTGTGGATAAATTGCTATCACAGGTGGCTAGTGATTTTATGAAAATGCACACGACCAATAGTACATCTACTGATCGATAAAATGAACGGTGGGTTCTGATACATTCTCCTCATTTGTCTCCTTTGTGGTCACGCACAGTCAACATTGGGAGTCATCAATGAGGCCACGTGACTGGTACACTAAAAAACGATTTACAAAAGGATTGTATGGAAACAACGGCAACAGATTTGTTGCGCGTTTGTGTCCACGACAAAGTGGTGACTATAGTAAATCCTATAAACTCAATGCCGGCAAGTTTACGATACGCAACTTGATCCCGGAGACCCGACAGTGTTATAGAGCTGCCCCGCTTCTTTCACCAGTTATGCATCCCTCAACTCCTGTTACGCTACTGTCAACACACTTCTTTGATGTTGTTGATGTTCTTCTTTATCCTAATCTTTTTGATGTTCATTTTCCCATCGTATAATTCACAGAAACCAGAATTTGTGTCCAGTTTGTCAATTTGTGTAAGCCCCATACCGTGAAAATCATTTCAGTTTTCCCATTTGTACAGTGCATTGTATTGCCAGGGAATAATTGTGTAAATTTTGCTCCGTAAACAAATTCCAAGAAGAGCAAGGCTGCAGTCCAGCACTCTGGGTTGGCAAACACACGAGTTCTGTTAGTGGACACGTAAGCCATTGAAGTGTGGGCAAATAATCGTGAATGAAACCGGTTCCCGTCGTTTTGCAGAGATAAGAATTCTGACAAAATGGTGCAGCAAACGTTTTGTAGTTTTATTATTATTATTATTATTATTATTATTATTATTATTATTATTAATATCATTATTATTACATTGGATCCATGAATGAAATCGTTTTTCCCGGTTACTCCGTAGCTCGTTAAACTTAAGAACTATGTTCTGTTTAGAATCCTTTGGGATATTTTAGATTGGCATCTCCTACTCAACAATCAAGAAGCTCATACTGTTTTCCAATCGTAGACACATTGAGTTGTTCTTTCTGAATCGATATCACTCCAGACCATAAAGTCATTAATTTTGCATCATATCTGTTCGATGGATCTCCGAAGGAAGCGTTTTCGACCCCTAACTGGCTTAGTGTATGACGTGGCTGAAGAGATGAACACCTTTCATGGGTGGTAGGCGGTTCTGCCGTCGTCCGGGTCAGTACCACCGCCTAGCCATCGGGGTCTTATATGGTTCGCCACTCCAAGTTCCAGGGATGGGACGCCGGTTACTCTCTCATCTCAACATGAATACTACAACAAACAGGAACAATTCTCTCAATCGACAATCGCACTCATTAACATTCGCGGCTTGAACCACCACATTGATTCTGTTCATCAGTTTCTACGGTCCACTTTCCCTTTTGCTCTAATTTTATCCGAAACTCAACTTTCCGCTTCTACAGACACCACGCATCTTCAGTTTCCCAATTATTCCCTTCACACTTCGTTCATCCCCAAAGCTGGTGTTTGTGCTTTCATCCATCATTCAATTGTTTCTACTCTGTTCGCACACTTAAATCTCACCAACCGCGAGTTCCAGACTCTGTGACCGAAACTTCGGTTCCCTCCTTTCAATCACTACTTCTGCACTGTGTACCGTTCCCCAAATAGTAGTGACCCTTCACTGTTTGACGTTTTATCGGCAAAACTAGATAGCATTGTTGAAGCAGACCCCAACGCTCAGTTCACAACTTTGGGTGATTTGAATGTCCATAACGGATTGGCTGTTACACTCTTCAGGGACAACGCTCCTGGGACGTGAAGCAGAATCATTTGCCCTATTGAACAGCCTCCGCTAACTGGTTGATTTCCCGACCCGTATCCGTGACCGTGCTGGCGACCACGCTCATACCCTCGATCTTGTCCTCACATCCAATCCACAATTATTTTCAAATGTTGCTGCTATTCCTCCCTTAGGCTCATCGGACTATTGTCTTATTTCACTCTCTACCCAAATTATTTGTTCTAATGTTCCTCTCAATTCCAGACACACATTTTGGCGATATGGTTACGCTGATTGGTGCAGCTTTCGCACCTTTCTGGCTTCCTACCCCTGGAATGAATGTTGCTTTTCCACCGATGTCTCCATCTCCACTTCGAATTTCTCCAAAGTTCTTTTGCAAGGCATGAACCTATTTATTTCTCATTTCACCAAACCCGGCAAGCCTATTTCTCCAGAATGGTTAAACCACGCCTGTTGTCGCGCTGTTCGTAAAAGGAAATCAGCGTTCCGCCNAGTCACCTTCCCCCAACTCCAGCCGATGGTTCTTGTTAGCACGTAACAAATGTACAACCATCATACAGAAGGCTAAAGAGCACTTTATTGAGCGCGAAGCAGCACAACTGGCGACCGCTCCTTCTGGTCATTCGCTAAAGCAGTCTCCCGTAACTTTTGTTCCACCAACTTCCCACCCATTGTTAAACCATCCGGTGATTTAGCATCCGACCCATTAGAAAAAGAAGAAGTGTTTGCTTCTCATTGTGCTTCCAATTCTACCCTTTTCGAATCACCCATCCAACCCCGCACACACCCAACGACAAACCATCTTTTCACACCACTCATTTCCACCGTCAGATCCTCTTATCGCTGGACCCTCACAAGCCGCCTGGACCCGACGGGATTCCTCCAATTGTCCTCAAAATGTGCACCTCAGAATTGGCTCCCTCCTACGTCGCTTATTCCGTCTATCTCTAAATTCTGAGATATTCCCAACCCCTTATGGAAAACGGAAATATTTCCACTCCCCGAACGCAGAGACCACTCTGACCCAACCAACTACCGCCCCATCTCTCACACCAGTCATTTCGAAGGTTACGGAATCAGTTGTTTCTGCTCAACTCCGCCACCATCTGGAGCAGAACAATACGCTTAGCAACCGCCAGTACGGTTTCCGATCACATCGATCTACCGGTGATCCCCTGGCGCTCATTTCGCATACGTGGTCAGCGGCACTCGACAACCACGGGGAAACTCATGCGGCGTCATTGGATATATCGAAAGCTTTCGATCGTGTTTGGCACGCCGGTTTGCTGGCTAAACTACCCAAGTTTGGCTTTCCTTCGGAACTTGTGTCCTGGACAGCAAGCTACCTCAAGGACCGCAGCATCTCTGTCAGAGTAGATGGGACCATGTCTCGTTACATGCCTGTGAATGCTGGTGTTCCCCAAGGTTCTGTACTTTCCCCTTCCCTTTTTCTGATGTTCATTAATGACCTTCTTTCTTCAACATTAAATCCTATTCACACCTTTGTCCATGACGCTAACCTACACTCTTCTCTGTCATATTCCTCTTCGCACATCGCTAACTCCCGCATTAGTGACCACCGTTCCTCCCTTAGCTTCTCCCTAAATTCTGATCTCGCTCTTATCTCCGATTGGGGCTGTAGCAACCGTGTTCTGTTCAATGCCAGTAAAACTTCCCCTATGTCCATTTCTCTTAAACACACATCTTTCTCCCCTTCCTTGAATTTCAACTCCAACACTCTCCGTTCCACAGAATCATGCAACGTACTGGGTCTTCCCTTATCTTCTTCTCTTACATGGTCACCTTATATTTATCTACTTGTTTCCCGCGCTGCGCGCAAACCTGGTTTCCTCTTCCACGCTAGACGCTTCTTCACCCCAATTCACCTCCTCTCGCGTTACAAAGTTCAGATTCGCCCTACACTTGAATACTGCAGTCATGTGTGAAGTGTAGCTTCGTCTACCTCACTATCTCTTCTTGATCGGGTTCAACGCAAGACCATCCGTCTCACCAACGACCCGNGTCACTAGCTCACTGTCGAGCAGTCGCTTCTTTATCCTTGTTCTATCGATATTACTTTGGTTTTTGCTCTGATGAACTTTCCGCATCTGTCCCTCTCCCACTTGTTCTTCCTCGTAGATCACGTGCACATGCGGCTAGTCACCCATTTCAAGTGATTGTCCCCAGGTGTCGCATTTCTTACTTTCAATCATCTTTTTTCCCAAGAACAGCACAACTGTGGAACACTCTTCCCCTTTCAATCTTCCCTCCAACGTACAACATCCATGTTTTTAAACGCTGGTTCTAGGTTGAATGTTCCCCATACCTTCCCACTTACAGTACATCTTCGGATCATGGGGTTTAACCTTTGTACTATATTCACTTCCGTGTAATAAAAAAGAGAAGTTTCTGTGGGGTTCGTGAGTGACCGAGAATGCGAAATGTGACGTAATGAAATAGCTGGTTGAATAAGTTTGTAAAACATCTTGCATTACTAAGTGGTGGAGTTTGAACTTACTGTAGTATGCTTTATTTAATGACGCAAAAATAAACTAGCGGCGACAAGTGAAAACACTGGTAGCCGTTGGAATGAATGAATAATCGGGACGTTTGTGCTATTCAATCAATATCTCCTAGTTGAAACACTAAACTATACCTTCTATATTGTGAGTAGACTCAATACCTTTCGCTCTGTACTAATCCGTGATCAATAAAGTGTACCGAACTAAGAGTGACAGGGTTTTTCCAGCAAACGAGTGACCCGGATAACACAAGAGGCCCTCTATCCTGACCCCTTGTGAGGATACTCGCGCTGCTTGGGGATGTTCAGGATGGGAAAATGTCAAAATTACTCCTTCTATAGATAAATCCTGATCGCAATAAGAAAACATGTCACAATGTGCGTGAAATTCATTCACCTACCTCAAATCCTTTCTTGTATCGCATAGGTTCGTATGCACAGAGTACCAGAAAGCTGGTGATCAAAAGAACGATAAATATCAGGCTGAGAATCCATAACCACGGAATTTGGTGAATGAAAAACACATTGATTGTTATTCCCAGACAGAGCACCGCACAGATGTACGTGCCCAGTACCACATTAAAACACTGACGTGTGTCGATCCAACGCAGGCAGTTTGGTACGCATGGACGTAACCACAACTCGGTCGGTGGAGGAATCAACGAAGCCTGTGCCTCTTCGCGTTTCATTGTAGACTGCCACTCCGCTAGATCTCGTTTCTCCGTAGGATCATTGTCGATCACATGATGTTCATCCACAAACAGATAACGCAAAACCATCAGATTTAATCCGATCAAAAAGTAGGAGAAAATCACACCAACCGATGTGAATTCGGCCAGAACCTGGATTCGGATAAACACAGCCAGTAGGATGGTAATCAGACCTCCAACCAACAGACTGAGAATGGGAACTTTGGTCCGGTGTTCCACACAAGCCATGCATTTGAACAATAGGCCGTCGGAAGCGATTGCATAAAATAGTCGTGGAATGACATACATGGCGACCAGTTTGGTAGCACCGGTCGCCAATAGCGTTCCGAACGCGGCAAACCACATCAAGCCTGGTTGATTGACGTAAGAGAAAGCGGCCACAAACGGGGCATCGTACACGATACCGCTTCTGGGCACAATATAAGCCAATCCGAATGAGACGCCTACATACAACAGACCACAGATCAGTAAAGCCGCGAACAAAGCGATCGGTAAATCGCGCCTCGGATTCTTGGATTCCTCACTTGCATTGGCCACAGCCTCAAATCCGGAGAAGGCAAACACCGCGAGCCCGGCACCGCGTAGAATTCCACGAATACCGAATGGGAGAAAACCACCTTCGACCTGAAAATTCTCCGGTGAACCGAGCACAAAAAATGATATTGTGACAATGATTAAACAACAGATTTGTATGGCTGACAGAACAGCATTCACAGTGAGCGAGATGTTCGCCCCAGTCAGAGTGATCAAAACTAGCACCAGCAGGAATCCCCCCGCAACCAGGTCGGGAGATGAGTCGAGGACATGAGAGTTACCCATGTTAATCAGATGGGTCGATGACCAGTTACGAATAGTCCCGTTCGTGAGCCAGTTAATGGTACCAGAGAATGCTTTGGCCACGGCAGCTGACGAGACGATCACATCAGCGATCATAGTCCATCCGGTCAGAAATGCGGGCAGTTCGCCAAACATCAAATATGTGTAAAGATAAGCAGATCCGGCTCGTGGGAACAGAGTGGTAAATTCTGCGTAGCACAATGCAGTGAATATAGAAGTGAGCGCCGAGACCAGATAGGCCAAGGCGGTAGCTGGGCCAGCGTAGTCACGAATCAGTTGACCCGTCAGTACGTACAATCCGGCGCCGATCATGTGAGCGACACAGTACAGTGTAAGTTGAGGTGCATTCAAACAGCGTTTTAGTGGGGTCTCCAATTTGCTGTCCTCCATGGCCGGCCTCTTTCGCATCACCCGTCGACAGAATTCCCGATAACTGATACATTTGTAAACCTGTGTCATTTTTGTGCTAATTCAAGTCCCGTTTTCGTTAATCACAGTAAGTGTTCACAAATGAAATCAAACCGGTTGTCCCATTCACAGATCGAAGAAAAGGATTAAAGTTAGGAATACCTTGTGTTTGTGCTTGAATTTAAGCATGCATCCCAGCCGAAACAGGAGTTACTCAATAGTCCACAGGATTCTCCTCAAACTTGTGCACGGTCGGACGCGGTAGACAAGTTGGCTTACCGATTTGGGCCTTGCTTCTACCTAACTTGCTCATTGGTTATATTATCATGTCTGTCTGTCTATCTATCCGAATGACGGTGCGCCAAGCGTTACCTATATGCCGGGTGAGCCAATCAGATTTTGGCGCAATCGGAGCAGTGCATGCAACACGGATGTGATTCACACAGCCTCGCGCACCAGAAATGACTCAAGCAAGTAGGTTGGTAACGAGCTCTCAGCCAACATTGCCTTGGCTACTAATCTGATATAAATCTAGCGCTGATTACGCAGATTTAAATGTAATTGTGAAACAGTCCTAGCGATTTAAAGTCAAATCAAGCATAGCTTCATGCAGCCATATAGTCAAAGTAGAACCAGTAGGCAAGAAAAACTACAACAGAATTGCGAAAATGAAGGACAAGGAATAAATAAATAACGATACAAGTGAATACAGTTCAGAAGCGATGCGCTCTGGGTTATCGAAAGATCGGGCAAGATAAGGCACCACAGAAGACCGGTAGAGGTTTCCGCTAGCAAATACGCAGTTGTAGCGGGATCTGGTGCAAGAGGAGGACACAGTTAATAAAATCCACGCATGAAAGATGCGAAGGGTAGTTCGTGAGTTTTGTCTATAACGAGAGACAATGTTGGATGTTGGGAAACAATAAACTGATGGGCGATAAAACGAATAATTCCACTAATTCCACATAAATATGCTAATGATCTGGAAAGCAATTCAAAGTCATTTTTAAGCATCCCTGAGAAGACTACAGGGCACCAGTATAGGACAAAGGTGCAAAATGGAAGCAAAAGGAAAACGACAGATCAAGAAGTAAGTGATGGATAAGGCTTTCAGGCGTAAGACATAAAATGATAATTTTCCGACCTTTCCAAATATAAAAATAGATTATTCAGACCAGCATAAATTTCGGCTGATTATTACACAGAGATAGTCAAAATCGGTGGGACGGATAATGGTATCATCCTGTATGTTCATCGCGAGACAGCATTGAGAGATTTGTATGACCGTTTCCTCTGAGAAGTAAGAACGGCATGTCTATGCATTTTGAGGGATTGAGAGTTAAGTTGTGCGCGGTGGACCACTCAGAAAAATTAGAAGCATCAAGTTGAAGAGTGGAGGTGACCGATGCATCATACAGCCAGGATCCGACGGAAACATTACCTGGGTATTTAATCAGCACGGAGTTTTGAAAAGTAAACATGGACGAAATATGAGTGGAAGGGAGAAAGGGACAGAATGGCACTGTGTAGTATGCCTAGTTTAGAGATGAACGGAGAGGAGGAACGATCACGTTAAGCCATGAACTCTGATCGAATTGCGAAATAGTCCGAGAGTATCGCTGTTTTGATGTTCGATATCGCAATGGAAGACGAATAGTTGACAACTTAGTCCTGCCAACACAATTGAAGGCGTCGCTGTAATCCGAGAAACATATTCTGACAGCTTTGTTATTTTCGTCGAGTGTTGATAGAATGTAGTGAACCAGAAAAGCTAGAGCATTTTTGGTGTGGAAAGAGAGTGACTGCAAGGAAATTGCTTAGAGTTGTGCATATGAAACTGTGATCACATTCAATGAGGGAGTAAGTTCGCGAATAGCTTCAACACAACAGATGTACAAACAATGGGACGGATTTCTGAGGTTCTTCTTCTAGACACCGGAGGGTAGAGGCAGATTTACAACAACCACCGGATTTTTTTTCTATACAATGATTAAACAGAGCTGTGAGCACTGACGACTGTGTGTGTGCGCCTACTCCTTAATAATAGTGGCTTCCAACCCGTCGGGACCGCATGATAAATGGGGTTTGACAATCAGCGACTCTTCCATGACATCCTATTGTTGGATAGTACACGGTTCTGTATCGCTGAGGTCGGTGTTTGTGAATCAAATGATCAGCCCCGTCCCCCCTGTTACTGGTTCACTTGTTGAATACTCGATTTGGTTCCTCAAAGTCAATTGTTGCTCCAGACACGATTAAGGATTGATCACTCAATGGCTTGATGGTGTTCCAGGTCACCATGCAGACTTTGGTGCGCTGGAGTGTGCATGTGTATATCCTCTTTGGTTTATACAGCACGTCTTTGATGGCAAGTGATAAGAGTTTCACCCTCTGAAGATCTTTGCGTTTGTATACCCCTTCCTTGCTTCGACGTAACTGTTTCAAATGAGGATACGATATGCAGTCACAGCGAACGTACAGTGTCTCCCGAGGGTGGCACACATCTTAGATACTGTGTTAGGTGATCACAATGAATGGAAGGAATGGAGTGGTAGAACACACTGAATTTTGTTTGGGTGACCTTCAAATTGGGTTTATCTAGGTTCTCTGGGTTCTCCGGATTACATTGACATTCCCTTCTTGATATGTCACGGCTTTTCATAGACCTGACGTGATTGAATTTACTGTGCACTACTGGGAAAAATATAACAAGCGTGTGATCCGAAGACCAAGGAAGGGAAGCGGTTAGAAACGGAAGAGACCTGGCATTATTGAGAAAACACATATCCCAATGAGCATTTTGCCTTGTTGGGAATCTCACTATGTTTGTCAAACCAAGAACAGTCCAAAAGCTGACGTAGACACGATTCAAGTCACCACAGATTATACATGGCGAGAAGTCAAGATAACCCAATCAAGCTATCGAATAAGTATATGAAAAATGAAGAAGTTCTTTTGAGGGACAATAAGGGGAAATAGAAATGTTGGCTAAGACCGTCGACTAGTAGTTACTCAGGTGCCTGGGCTTGCATACATGTACGGAGGCACAGATGCAACCAATGGAGTGAGTGAATGCCTGCTTCCCATTCTTGCACCAATTATTACTGATATGAGTCACCAGGCCTCTTGCACGCTTCTGATACGTTGTGGGACGATCAACTCGGGATTCCGGAAAGTCATCGACTTTAGCAATCTCATCAGTATCACTACACTACCCCTTCTCTAATAGAATTGTGCCTAACTGGGAAGATTCCATATAGCGTACGATATTAGATATATCTGGTTATTTCGCAGGCAGAATACCAGAAGCAACCGAGTCGAGTAGAAGATTTCTTGCCTTTCGAGAACATGAAATGCCTTCTATCATGAAATACTAGGCGNCAATAAGGGGAAATAGAAATGTTGGCTAAGACCGTCGACTAGTAGTTACTCAGGTGCCTGGGCTTGCATACATGTACGGAGGCACAGATGCAACCAATGGAGTGAGTGAATGCCTGCTTCCCATTCTTGCACCAATTATTACTGATATGAGTCACCAGGCCTCTTGCACGCTTCTGATACGTTGTGGGACGATCAACTCGGGATTCCGGAAAGTCATCGACTTTAGCAATCTCATCAGTATCACTACACTACCCCTTCTCTAATAGAATTGTGCCTAACTGGGAAGATTCCATATAGCGTACGATATTAGATATATCTGGTTATTTCGCAGGCAGAATACCAGAAGCAACCGAGTCGAGTAGAAGATTTCTTCCCGTTCAGGCACAACAAATGCATTCTATAGTGAAATAGGTCGTACGGTAAGTTATTTGTCTAAACCTGTTCAAGGAACACCACCCGCGATGAATAATTAAGAAAAACCGGATGTATCTCAAGCGTGATCATGGGCATCTCGTGTACATCAGGTACAAGATCGAACCGGAGAAAGCTTTCGATGTTATTCATCGTATCCCACTCATTCAATCGAGGACGGCCCGAGTTTGGACTGTAGCAGTGGCCGAGGCGATCGCCATTCGCTTACTAGGCCTAAGCCTTTGTGTCCCAAACAGACTGGTTCAAGCGCTCCAAGTACCTTGGCGCATAGTGGAAACCAAGACATACTATGACGTGTCACTTGACCCAAATGGGTAGAGGTCACATCAGCTAACACTCTAAACAGCGTTACACACACATATAAACGCACAGATACACATCCTCCACTCTGCCTCCGATTAATGACCTTAAATTGAGCCAATGGCTGTCATTATGTAAGCTTGTTTCTACCATTTGATGTGTAAGAGTATGACTAGGAATCTCCGAAAACAGTTGTTCGCTCACCGAATCGTTTTCTCAATGCTATCCTGGGATTATTCAAACTATCGTGAAATAATCGTCGACCAATCTGCCAACGTTTGGAGTAGCATCACTTTTGGTAATCAGGTTGAGCAATACCGATCTATGAGGAATGCCAAATGCCATTTTTTAGTCTAAGAACACCATTCTGACTTACACGCCCTATCTAGTACCGAAAGTAGCAAATGAACAAGGTGAACAACTGCATCAAATGTTGAGCGCTAAAAGGGATATGCAAATTAATGTATGTCGTCTTCGGTAGACTAAGTTACTCAAATTATTTGAG